AAGATGGACTTCCATGGTGAGTCGCATTTAGCGGAGCGAACAAATCGCATTCGACACGATTAATTCGTAGTTCCAATAATGTGAGTGAAGTGGACGTGGAGGGCTTATTCAAGGGGCGAGAATGAGTCAGTGAGTTGTGAATGCTACTTTCGTAGGACGCAATGGGTGAATGAGTGATGTTGGAGATGAGGCCTTACCTTACCACCTATGTTTGTGCATTGGAAATAATCCAAGTCGGCAATGCACAAGGAAAGCGCAGTGTATCAAGTGTTGTGAAGTGAAGGGAGGTAGATGTGGAGGGAGCAAGTGTTAGCCGTGTGGACGAAGTGGCGGAGTGTGTGAGAAAACGACCAAAATGAATTGTTTCATGAGTGAAATCGAAGTGTATAGAAGATGGTTATTACAAGTTATTTAGAAGAGTGCAGTATTTTTATTGGTGGGGTTTACGCTGTGCTTATGAATTCTATCAGATTCAGCAACGTGAATTATTAATCTGTTTTTGAGATTGACTTGACCTTTTATTACCGACTTCTTTCTGCTATCGAGTGTTGCAACATGAGAGGAATCTCTCATTTCTGATCCACAATGCTACTGCCACTGACAGGATCTGAAAAGAAACTTTTGTTATCAAACTTCCAAAAGTAGCTTCTGCTTAGCTAATGCAAATGATTTACTCCACCAGGTGCAAGTTTGACAATAATTCTGTTATAAAATAAAGGATTTTCACATTTTCAGAAATGTTTGTAATAATCTCGGTCTTGCTTGCATTGGAGAGCAATCTCTGTCTTTGTTGGAAGTCGATTTAGAGCTTAAAGTTAATCTCGAGTTTCGTTTCCTATGAATTATACCAAGTAATCATTATAAGAGATGGAATTTCACTTCCGACGTTAGAACTTCTGACTCATTGAAGCCTTTCATTCCTTTATATGTGGGCAAAACACATCGAGCCGTGCAGCCACCACATGCCCATACATTCGTGAAAGCTTGTCTGAACAAATTCTTAAATAACCTTGAGAACTCGTCAACTACTAGCACGCAAAATGCTAATGAATTGGAAAGTAAAGAACAAAATTGAAATGCATCTACTATGGTGCAAGAGTGACATTAACTGAAAGCATTTACGTCTTCAAACAATTACCGTTTTGATCGTTTGACTTAGAACGCCTTCTCAAGTGGTAAACACTCCAAAAGTTGACGCGTCAAGGTTGTGGTCGGCAGGAGGCGTCGAAGCGACTGTGATTGCAACTCCACAATCATCTGATGGTTGTAACATTTCTCCCTCCTCCTTCCTCCCCCTCTCCTCATACCACATCCTCATTCTCCCATTCCGATAACATCAAACAGCCGCGTCGTCGTTGATGGAGGGAAACGACGCGACCAGACTCCACACTACCGGAACTGTTGCTCACTGCTCCTCCGAGACGGGGTTTCAAACAAAGCATAGTTCTTTGTTGTGTGTCCACTCTCGACCACGCGGTGACTCCATTTGACGCCTCTTCGTGTAGTTCGCCGTAGACTGGTGATATTTGCTACCTTGGTGCGTGGCAGTGCCACTGCCTCGTCACATACCAACTGTCGTGCCCATCACAATTCCACGAGTGCCTCGCAAGTGAACACAAATGTTAAACGAAGATGAGCACCATGCCAGAAAGAAGAGATTTCGCGATTAAACGGAAGTCCACTTCCTACTGTCCGAACCGAAAGAGGATGTCGAGACCAGGAGGCCTCGCACCTTTATGAGCAGATTAAGATGGGCTGTGCGCTTTGTAGTGCCCTTTGAGGCGGGGGTTGATTACGGTGGTCATTAACTTGTCAGCTGTTTGAATGAACCTGCGTGTTGAGACAGCAGAGCAAGGCGCTCTCATGACAGCGAGTTGTGCGACCTTCAATGCCTAGCCAGTGACTTCAATGCATCAACTTCAAGCATCAATTTATTAATCTCAAGGCTAAAAATCTCACCAACAGGCGATAGTGCAAAAGACACAGGAGAACTGGGATCGCAAAAACCATCCTGCGTTAAATAAACAGCGTTTTCTAACCTCCATAAGTTATGCAAAAAGCTGCTTGAGTGGCAAAAGGATGTTGGTGAGAAGTCACAACGTATGGGAAGAAAGATGCATTAAAAACAAACCAAAAGCCGAATATTGTGCTAACAAGATGAGAAGTAGCACTAGAGTAAGGATTGAAGCACCAATGAAGTGCGCCAAATCAAACCCTCAACTTGCGCCAACATTTTGACCACGTTGATGGGCAGACCAACTGATCGGCATGGTGAAACCGACACCCCCATGCAAATGTCCTCCACGAGATGCATCAGACTGTCGCTGCTACGTCAGCGTCTCAACTACACCACCACGACGAACGTCCAAGGAAGGCGCACAATGAGGCCAACGAATGGTAAATGCCTGCATGGTTCTTACAGGGATTGCTCTCCACGATCGCCCCAATAAACACGCCATGTCGAGCACGTAAGCCATCATAATCATTCCACGGCATTCATTACAAAGCTAAACCAACAGGGTGGACACATATGGAGATGCGG